GAGCTTGATATATTGCTGTTGGGAAAGTTGCGAATTCGCCGTCTGCTTTTCATCCTTCGATCGATCCTCGGCTTAGCTTCATCTTCGCTCCATCATCGTACCGCTTAAGGACGTGCGTCTGGCAGCTCTCCGAGCTGAAAAAAAAAAAAAAAAAACACCCCGTTTGCCAGGAATCTGTTGGTCAACTTGCTCAGCAGGATTTACACCGGCTAATTATACAAGAAAAGACAGTGGCTTGGTGCTAACGAGATTTCACTCGCGGATTATCGGCTGCTACAGAGCATCGGGCGACGCGATTAGAAGCGGTATAAAGCAACTTTCCTTCTTCTTTCCAGCGAGTAAATCATTGCGAAACTCCGTGAATGCCATTCAAGGTGAAGTATATTCATCGTTTCGGGATCAGAGTACGAGGATCGAAGAACAATTGTTCACCGTTATATCTGGAATGCAAAGTTCAAGATATTATAAATCCTTCATTCTTGGTTTAATTTAATTTATTCAAACATAAGGGGAAAATTAAACATTTTCTTTAAATATTCTTAGAGGTAAATCAAAGATTAGAGAGTTAACGTAGAATTGGAATTATACGCAGATAGTAAAAGTATTTTCTTAGATATGTACGTAGCAGAATAAATATTCATTACATTTTTATTATCATCGTATTAATTTCGTATTAACTTATGGGGTAGGAAATTTTCATCTACTTTCAAACAGGCTGGAGTTGGGCAATTCTGTTCTCAACTTGCATTTGTTATCGTTAAATACCCACGTCTAGAATTAATCAGCGATGTCTACGAGGCACCGAAGCTGTTAATTGTTATCAATTAAATAGCGAAATCACTCTGATATTGTTTCTTGTTTATGCGTGAAACAAGAACGTATCTCGAGCGAGCCGGAGGTTGCCTCTTAATCCTAACAGCGTCTCTCAAAGGACTTCGCCAAGGGTTGCGAACTTTTTGCGCATGACACCCGAGTACGATCACCCTCGTGGAGCCCCACAAGCTCTCCCTTGTAGTACACAGACCCTCGACATACACGTGAAAGACGCGAGTGTGAGAACCAGCGTGCCGCGTAGTTCTTTATTCAAATTCCTCATCGTGCGGCAACCAGAGCTCGCCGACTTCTCTCTGGCTCTCGGCAATTTTTCGCGTCGCCTAATCGCGAGTAGAGGCCCCTGCAGTTCCGGATACGATCCGTTCCTCTCGGTTTCTCGAACTAACATTACAGTGGTGGGAAATAGTGTCAATAATAATCAAATAGAACACTTGGACCGCAGATTCCTCTACGACGAGAACTTCGACGAATTTTTCCAACCGTCTGAATCAGAATTTCCGATCGAATCTATCGCTGGAGAATGTTGTCAAACGGATTGGTGCGCTGACGGAGTTATCAACACTCTGTCTCCGAGTGAAATATCCGAGTTTTAATGGATTATTACAATCGAAACTTTCTCCAATTAATTATAAAAGTTCTTTGATATAACGAAATATTTTCATCCTATTCTATTTTTGCAACAAACCTCGAACCTTAAAGGCATTCTCGACAGTTTAAATACTGAAAAAAGAATAATCTCGAAAGATTTGAATATTCGCCTTCGAAGGGAGACAACTCAAAATGTCGATGCGACAGAGTGGAACATTTCGTCGGAAATGAAAGTTTTCTGTATGAGAAAGAAACTTAATCGGCCGTTGGAAGAAAGGCTCGTGAAAGCTCGTAGGAGCTGAAAAATCTCACTTATAAGGTATCGAGATATCGGCGTGCAGAGATGTGACGGGCAAAGCTTTCGTACGGTTTTCCCTGTTTCTTTCTCACCTGACATCCGATCGGAGATTTCGTCGTTTCTCTTCTGCCGGTCATTATGTAAAGGTGAATACGCAGGAGGGCGATGGGCATTATTTATAACTTTGCCCCGACGCCATACGACGCGGCGAAAGCGACCAACCGGATTGGCTTCCTCGCCGCTTTCCTCCGCCGGCTGTGTTTCAGCAATCGAGCGAACAAAACGCTTTACACCGCTCGCAAATCAAGAACATCACGAGAATTTATTAGAAGGCGTAACACTCGCCTTCCGCTGAAAACTCGATCGTTTTCGTGGGAGATATTTTGCAAGCCCCGGCAGAGAGACAAACTATAATCTCATCTTTCGCAGAGATTAATTATTCCTGCTAGCTGTTTCGTCGAAACGAAAGTTCCCTTTAGATTGTCAACTTGAATTGATCGAGTCAAGATTAAATGGAAATTTCAAACAATTGTATCATATATACAATCTTGATTGAAATTTTGATTCCGTCGATGTTCATTCATTTATTGGCATTCAGTGGATTCCGTTGGCAAAGCCTTTAACAATTGTGTTAAATGTTAAATTGATAAAAAATCCCGTTCTTGCGGGAGTTGGAAAATTTCACGATCTCGAAGAAATTGAGAAGAAATTGTTATTGATATCTACGTGTGATTTCTTATTTCAATTTTCACATGGAGGAACTGTTTTGTTTTAAAAGTTGCCGTGTTAAAAATTTTTCGAGCATATCAAAATCCTTCTCTTCGATTAACTCAGCTTTCACGACGTTGCAAAATTCTTTCAATTGTGTGAATAATCACAATTGTCACTTTTCAGTGTTCACTCGTTTTCTTACTTGAAGCAAGAAGTGAGATTGAAATATAAAAATCTCAAGAGTCACAGCGAAATTCGTATTGTAAGATTAAGAATTAATTAAAAGATTAAGAATTAATTAATCACGTATTCTCGTTCTCATTCACACGCTAAAAATATTCTCAAAAATTGAAAGAACTTTCTCCACCAATCGGAATGAAAGTAAAATCGGAAAACGATACGTTCAAGGATCGACGAGAATAGGATTGAACAATGAACGACAATGAGCGTGACATTTTTTTTTTTTTTTTTTTTATTCGCGGTGATTCACAAAGAAAAGATAGAGACAATGGCGTCAGTCTTTCCTCTAAACGTGATCGGTTTGAGTAAGTTCGTTTAACCCCGATAAAGATATCGCGAGGAAAGTACCTGGACTTGAGTTCGAAGCATGATACATTGCGGTGGCTGGTTCAAGATTGACGATAGCGGTGGTCGTGCGCGAATCGTTCCAGTTTTCATTCCCCCGAGAGCAGCTCTCGAAAATGTCGACGATCCTGTTGCAGTGCGTTGGAAATTGCTTCCACAGAAGGAGAATTCGCACAGGTTCGTGCTAGAGTTTCCCACGTGGAAAAAAACGTCATTTCAATCGTCGAACACTCCAGCAATTTATCAATTGCCTTCCCTGCAACGTCAAACGCTCGAGCGTCTTCTTTCTCATTCCCCTTTCAACAGTCTGAGAAATATAACAGAGAATTGTTTATTTGTGTTCTTTTTATAACTCAGATTACCGAGCTAGCCGTTTATAATATTATAAACGTTTCAATTTCTGAACAATTTCATAAGATTATGGAAAGTGTGGTGAAAGATATAAATATCGCGACTTAAGTAGTATAAACTAAAATCAAAAAGAAATCCTAATTTAGTGGATTAATAATTGTAACTTTTCATGGATTATTCTGCAGGAATATTCTGTTCCGTGATTCAAGTGGGGGAAAAAAATTTTTTTTTTTTTTTTTAATTAATTCTAATGATAGAAATTTTCTGCTCTATTGCAGGTATGCACTGCCTAGGTGCGGTGACAGGAGGCATTCCCAGCCCAAATGGGGCTGGCGGTCGGGGTGGCATTCTTAGCGTGTTCCGAGCTCTTGGAGTCCTTGTATGTGAAGGGAGGATTCAGGGCCCTCCACGTGGTTACAAAGAGGGCCCACATTGCGCAGCGCCTATGCAAACGGTGCCTAACGACCACGTGTGCGAAGAAAACAATTACTTGGTAATGCAAACGTTCTGATCTTTTAATTTCTTTCCTTTTTTTTTTTTTCAAAATATTCTCCGAATCGCCTTGTATCACTCTGATAATTTTTACTTCCATTTCTTTTTCGTAGTTCAGAATTAAAAGACACGCCTTTCGCACATTGGGAGTGACTTTTAAATCTTGATTTTTGTTGTGCTTTACTGTCAGTGTCGAATCAAAATTATCTAATATTTGTTTCAAACGGCAGTACATGTTGGAATATTTCCCATATGCCTCTGTTCATTTGAGTAAAATTGTCGAAACGAAGAAAGACAAAGACTGTTCGTACAATTGAAACACCTTGAGCAAAAGGGACTTGCAGGAGATATAAAAAAAAACGACACTTTTCACTTAGGTAGAATTTTGTTTTAGGATCATTGTCAAAGATTATTTCACGTCTTTTGTTTCGAAAATAAAATGTAACGTCGTTGAAATTTCTCCAATCCTACGTAACTGAAATTTCTGTAGAAAATGATTTTTTCATTCGTCTTTTTCTTTCTTCACGTAATTTGCGCAGTGCGATCGGTATCTTGTGCTGGTTCGAGAGATCGCGGACCGTGTTGCAATTGGTTCGTTCCTGTGCATCGAGGTAGTGTTGTGCAGCGACTGTCCATGCGGTTTGACCAAATCTATGAGCAAGAATCCGATCTGCACCGTGCCGTCCTTATCAATCTCACCATGGCAACAAGCTTCCGAGATTCTGTTGGAGTACTGGTGTGTCTGCGTCGTTCCCAGCAAGTGAGTTGTACACTAAACTATTCATAGTTCTGTGACTGGAATTCTTATCGAGGGGAAACTAGAAGAAAGCTACAGTAATTCTTTTGCTTTGTAAAAAAAATTTTTTTTTTTTCGAATTTTCTTTCTTCATCCATCGCTGCACGCTTAATAATTTCCACATAAATGTTTTCAAATATTATATATTTATGTTAGAATCATTACAAGGATTTTGCGTGTGAATATCTGTCTTTTATTGATAATCCACAGGGGTCCAGAGACGATGAATTTCTATGGATTATATCAGGCAGTTCGTTCACGACTTCACTTCAGCCAGGTCGCCGCTTGGTGGTCCCGAAGCAACGGCAATGATCCCAGTTACATCATGACGAGGGTAGTGCCGTATAACGAGGATAATCTGAGAAAATTCCGGGAATCTCCAGTGGAGCACACGTTCCCTTTAGCTGGCCAGGGCGATGGAAATTCCATAAAAGTAATGAAATTGATTTTTTATCTTTTATTGACTGTTGTCAATATATTTCAAATCCTTCGCCTGTACAAAATATTGTTGAGGGTCGAATTTGATTAGTAGTAGTATATTTCTTTAACTACTTTCGTTGAAGAGTTTATTTTTCTAAAATTGTACATAAATTTTATCTTTCTAAAAATCGTGACAGACAAAGAGAAGTTTAATAGATAAGTAGAAAGAAAATGTAAAATATACTTCAGAATTAATAGATTACTCTCACCAATATTTAATAAGTCTCACCATCTAGGTAACTAGACCGTGGATTTTTATGCAAATTCATATTTCAAGAAATATTAATATGTTCACATTAACATATACTAATTACACTTTGTTTAATTATGATATTTTAATTCTACTGAAAAATTACCTTCGCCTGTATCTTAATCCAAAAATATTGTTGAGGGTCGAATTTGATTGGTAGTAGTATATTTCTTTAACTACTTTCGTTGAGTATTTTATTTTTCTAAAATTATACATACATTTTATCTTTCTAAAAATCGTGACAGACAGAGAGAAGTTTAATAGATAAGTAGAAAGAAAATGTAAAATATACTTCAGAATTAATAGATTACTCTCACCAATATTTAATAAGTCTCACCATCTAGGTAACTAGACCGTGGATTTTTATGCAAATTCATATTTCAAGAAATATTAATATGTTCACATTAACATATACTAATTACACTTTGTTTAATTATGATATTTTAATTCTACTGAAAAATTAATGAAATCTAATTTTTACAATAAAAGAATGTAACAAGAAAGAGAAATAAAATAGAAATCGGTGGATCATTTTAGAGAAAAACACTGTACTTTTAATATTTTCAAATTTCTACAACTCGAAAATTACGTTTCTTGAATTGTATCACTTTTGTCTCAGATATTTTATAATCCTATATTCATCGACCTCGTTTGATCTCTGTTAATGTCATCCTCACAATACTTCTTCAGTCTCACATTATTCGTTCTACGCAAAGATGACGCAGTCTGTGTGCTCGCGTTGAAAACGTAGCTACGTACGAAAGCTCGTTCGGATGAAGATAGATGCGCCTAATCGATCCCACGGATTCTCTGGCAAACAGCAGCTCGCCAGGAACGCTCGAAACGACGCGTTTGACTCGCGATAAACACGAGGTCAATGTTCCTCGAACTGTCCATGCAATTCGCATGGTGGTTCCACTACTCTCGTCGAGTATATACCTTGCACGGTTCTATTCTGGTGGCTCGAGGACACTAACGAATGCCTACTTTTAACCATGCAGATGAGTCACTGAATCCGGCTACCGAATCTCTCGTTGCGAGTACCGCGACTGCAATTTAATGGAGCTGAAGAGGAAATCTCGTGTGAATTTTAGGTCACCGTGTGGGCATTGCCGAGGATGGAAGAGGTGCCGATTCTCACCTGTCCGTTGCACCCGATCAAAGAGAAGGACGAGGAGGGTGTCGCGAGGGCTTTGACACCGACCAAGGCTATCCCGGTTCCAACCGCCGCACAAAATCCCGAAGGCCTCGTTTTGCCTGGTAATGAGAGGAATACGGGGTCGATCAGCCTGATCATTTCAACATTCGGGTATCATCTTCGTGTCTCTCTTTCTTTCTCTCTGTGTTAATACTTCGGTACTCGTGAAGTACCATTTCTTCTTTTTTATTTTAATCTTTCAAAGAAAAATTGTTTCTGATGACATATATATTTCGTTTTGCGAGATGCTGTGGGCGACACGTGTTTTTAAACTATTAGAAATTAACGTAATTGTTTGAAACAACTTGTCTATGTCTTGTCGACTTTAGAAATTTTTGTCTTAATTAAATTAACTCCGGTATCGTTCGACTTTCTTTCGCGAGGGATTTTATATAAAGAAATTTCAGATTATTCAGCATCGTGCAAAAAACGACGTTTTTGTTACTTTTTCAAACCATAAATCAATTAATTTTTCTTTTACCGCTTTCGTTCATAAATTACTGAAGCTGATACTCGAAAAAAAAAAAAATTCTCAAACTGAAATGTGTCTCGAAATCAGTTTTATATTTTCTCGGAACAGCTTTGGTAGACGATAGACTGCAAACACCGTGCAACAAACCTGGGAAGCACCACTGTCCCTGCGACGAGGAGGACGTTCCACCGCCATCGCCGGCGATCTCGCGGCAAAATCGCGAGAGAAAACGTCGCCGATCTCTTCCTTGTGGTCCAACAGACGCCAACATCTGCGTGACAGTCCAACCGATGCCGCTGCCCTCGGTACAGGAAAGCGTTACTCAAGAATCAAACAAAGATAACCACAGCTCCAGCTACCCAAAATGTTCCTTCGAGATTACGAACAATCGCGGCGTTAAATGTCTGCAAAATCAATACTGCAAATTAGAGGAGAACAGCATCAAAAACAGGAAGAATCTGAACGCGGACAATCTGGAGCGGTGTTTCAAGACGCAGCTAAACATCGACAGCCGAGAAGGGAACCTAGAGAAAAGGTACAAACGAACGATCGACGATCCTGAATCAAAATCGAACTGCAAGGAGAAACAGTGCAATCTGGAGAAGAAGCAGAAAGACGCGGAGATCAAATCCACGGAGAAGAACGGGCTGTTCGAGAATCTAATTCAGCCGTTCAATTCGTCGTTGCCATGGTCGTTCGTCGAATCTTGGAACAATAGCAACGCGAGTGGGAAATGCGCTTTCCAGAGTTTACGTGGCAATAGGGAAGCATACTTCAACGACTCCGAGAGAACCTGTAAACCGCCAGTTAGCAAGGATTCGAGCCTTGTGATCAATCCCTTTAGGCAACCCAGTCCTTTCCACGAGTCAAATCCAGGCCCCTCGACGAATAATCGTTTGAAGCAGGATTCGATAAACTCCACCTGTATGGTGCACCAGAGTTGTGTCAAGTCGTCGAACAAGCTGTCGAATCCAGAAGCAGTATTGCCCGGACGGGAAGCTTTGGACGCGGATTTGAACAGAGGCGCAAACAACAAAGGGAGGTGCAACAAGGATCTGAGTCAATTGATATCGAAGCTGTCGTTTCCTGATGACAAGGAGAGAACGAAGGAGGAAGGTGGCTTCTTGGATTGGTTCAGTAAAGTTCCCGGACGAGTCCTCGGCGTCTCGACGCCGAATAACAGCTACACGGAGAGCAAGGTGAAAGCCACGAATCTGAAAGGCCAGGAGCAGCACGGGAACGAGGTGAGATTCAAGAATTGTAACTTGGAGCTGAGTCAACAGGAGTTCGACGAAGTTCTAGCTGTTTTAAGAGCCAGGACACCATCTGAGCGCAAGAGGACGAATATCAGGACGATGAAAAGGCGCGAGAAGTTGGAGAAAGCAGCGGAGGATAGTTCGGATAAATCGGTGGCGAAGTTCGTGAGTTCGGAGAGCAACGAGTGCTCCCCGAGTACCACGAATAATATAGTGAATCGTGCGAAGCCTTGCGAGGGTTGTAATCATAAATTGTGCAGGAAGAACGATCAACAGGCGTTGGAGAAGGCCAACTTCGTCGATATCTACGGTAACAAGAACATCTACAACCCGCAGAAACGCGAGAAACTGAAAGGCGTTGGATCGAACGAGGATCTACAGTCGACGAAATGTAACAACTCCGAGAAACGAACGAACGACACGGTGGACTGCTTGCAGAACGTCTCGAACAAGGCGGACATACTATTGGGAGCAATTTTGCGTACCACCAAGGACCGAAGGAGCCAGTCAGAGGTCCCCAGTGAGACCAAGTCGAGGCTCGCGTTACCAATGACCAGCAACGAGATGGAAACTAACCAGAACAACGTCACCGGCGAAAAATGTCACGAGCAGAGACTGTCGTTGGAAGACGAGAAGTCTCTGCCGATGGCGTTCAACAAGAGGTTCAATCGGTTTCGACAGTTGTTCAAGAAGGAACAAGAGAAGAAGTTAATCGAGGACGTTTCGCAAGACGTGGTCCAACAGACGAGTCAACGTTCGTTCTTGTACAACAACGTCCACCCTAATCTGCACGATCCAAGGAACCTTCGTGACAGCAAAGTGAAGAGAAGGTTAGACTTTTCGAATTTCGTTGAAGAGACGGAGAAGCGAGACGCGAGCCCCGACCCTTCAGAGCTTAGTACAAATGGCGCACATCAAAACTCACGAATCTATAGTACAAATTACAAGGAGGATAGCTGCGACTACGACGAGGTCGAGACGTCCAAGTGGCTAAGTAGATTGCATAGTACAAACGATGAGGATAGCATAACCGAGCACGAGGAGGAGGAAGACGAGACTCTGTCGAAACTTTGCAAGGATTCTTCGACTGTTGGCAAGAAGACTCGAAACCACCTCGGTAAAGACAATGCGATACCAGATGAAGATGAAACGGTGGACAAGGCTGTACCAACTGCTATCGAACAAGAAAGATTTCGACGATCGTTGGAGAATGCAGCCTCGATGGTGTTTCACAGTAGAACCGGCTTACCACTGACATCCAGCCCGGCTCCGTTGAGAAGAGGCAGCTGTTGTTTCGATTACGATAGCAGTCTTAATTCTGTCTCCTCGAAAAGGAGGTATGGATCGAAGCTATATTGATAGAAAGTGTGATAAACCAGATTTGCCATTCAATATCTTATCAGTTTACACGTAGCATCTCAAATCATGTATTAGGCAACTGGATATTCATATTCTTAATACTCATGTACTCGTCTTTAATCCTCAAGCGGACTATTTTTCCAGTCCCTTTTAAATTAATAATTGTATTATGTGTTGATGAAATTTCACTTGATATAAGTTAAACGTAAACTCCAATTATCAAACTAAACTTGAAATTCCATTTTATATATTTTAATATAATCGTTTAGTTCAGGGAATTTCCTGATTGAAAGAT